TGTTGTTGTTGTTTGATTTGTTGTTAAATTTTCACTTCCTCATCAACCGTCAACACAGGGGTGAACCCAAGACCTGGTACGGAGTTCCCTCTGTGGCAGCGGAACGGCTGGAGGAGGTGATGCATAAACTGACCCCAGAGCTGTTTGAGTATCAGCCTGACCTCCTGCACCAGCTGGTCACCATCATGAACCCCAACATCCTCATGTCTCATGGTGTACCGGTCAGTAACACACACACACACACACACACACACAGCAGAGAGTGTGTTGTTCAACTGGACATACACAGCAGAGAGTGTGTTGTTCAACTGAACATGTGTTTTGGTCAAAATAACTTTTTTTAACCATACATTTTCCTTTAGTTTCTTGTCAATAGTTTGTATTGTTCTTTTTGTTTTATTAATATTATAATTGACTTTATTATATGCACATGTCGTAGGTACAATTTCTTAATTAAATACATTTAAACAGAAAAGAAGACAATCTTTGCAAAATATAATTATTTACATATATTTTCAGTACATTGTGCTACATTTCTTACTTTTTTTAAATAATATTTTCAGTTCTTTAAACAGAAACTTCAACAGGAAATCTTTCTGAAAATTATCACATTTGCTTCTTGATGTACAAAACTAGCTATATATATATTTTTTAATCCCATAATCGACCCCACAATGTTTGTGATCCCACAGGTGGTGCGCACTAACCAGTGTGCGGGTGAGTTTGTCATCACCTTCCCCAGAGCCTACCACAGCGGCTTCAATCAGGGATACAACTTTGCTGAAGCTGTAAACTTCTGCACTGCAGACTGGGTAGGTCCAGTTACAGTAACCTGCAGCGTGGTCACCGTGATCCACAGCAGTGACAGTTGACAAGAACTGTCTCTGTTTCCTCTTAGCTGCCTCTGGGTCGCTCCTGCATCGAGCACTACAGGCGTCTGAGGAGGTACTGCGTCTTCTCACACGAGGAGCTCACCTGTAAAATGGCTGCCAGCCCGGAGAAACTAGATCTAAACCTGGCTGCGGCTACACACCGGGAGATGTTCATCATCGTCCAGGAGGAGAGGAAGCTGCGAAAGGCTCTTATGGAAAGGGTGAGACACAAATGCATTAAAAAAAGATTACAGTATTTTCTCTTCACTTTCTCGACCGTGTCTGGTTTTCGGATGGACGGTTCAGTCAAAGCTTGTCTTCTGCCTTCAGGGAATCACTGAAGCAGAGCGTGAGGCGTTTGAGCTGCTGCCTGATGATGAGCGACAGTGTGATAAATGTAAGACGACGTGCTTTCTCTCTGCTCTGGCCTGTTCCAAGTGTCCGGAGCGTCTGGTGTGTTTGTATCACACTCAGGATCTGTGCAACTGCCCAACTGATAAACTCTACCTCAGGTATTTACCCCGGCGTCACACAGGCTTTTCTTTTTGTCTTTTTATGTTGTGAAATTAAAATAATAAATTTTGATGATTTTCTTTTTGTTTGTTTTCATCCCTCTTTAGGTATAGATATACCCTGGATGAGTTGTTATCCATGTTACACCGATTAAAGGTCAGGTCTGAGTCTTTTGACTCATGGGCCAACAGAGTGAAAGAAGCACTTGAACAAGAAGGGAACAAAAACGGTAGGGAAATAACATGGTTTATTTGTAGGGATGTCCGATAATATCGGACAGATATTAGCATAATTATGTAGTGTCTGTAAAAGGTGTTCTCAGTTTTTCCCTCTGATAATAAAAACCCCATAACCTAATGTCTGGGTTTCCCCAAACGATGTGTGCTCTAAAAATAGTTTCGGGAACAACAGCCTAATAAAAAAAAGAAAACCACAAGATGGCAGCATTGCAGCTCTTTTTATGAATCTTTGTTAATAATCAAGGGATTGTATGATTGTAATAAAAGTGGTTTGTACAGATAAACAAATAAATATTACCAGGTGTTCAGTACTGTTTCAATTTGGAGCTAAAGTGGTTTGTACAGATAAACAAATAAGAGCCGGTGTGAAAAACTAGGGGATCTCAAAAGAGCTTTTCAAGACTGAAAATTTCCTTCACGTGCAGGAATCCATGACCTTGAAATACTGAAGTCAGAGGCAGCTGAAAAAAAGTTTCCAGACAACGAACTTCTTCGGAAGCTCAACACTGTTCTTAAAGACATAGAGCAATGCCAACAGACCAGTACTGCACTCCTCACCAACTCCATCACCAGGTGGGACAGATCACAGAGCTGATGCTTTGTCTCAAAGGTGACGTCTGCTGACAGATGTCTGTGTTTCAGTGACGGTAAGATGACGGTGGCGGAGCTGAGGACGTTGGTGGAAACGATGCTGAATCTGCCCTGTGTGATGAACCACCTGGAGGAAGTGAAGGTTTGTTTACAAATTAAATGGTGACAAGAACGCTCTTTATTTTTTACTGGAACCTCAAACGTCTCTTCAAGCTTTTATTTTGCACCACGAGTTACCTTTTTCGTCCTATGCTTTTGAAGGCGGTTCTACGGACCGTGGAGGAGTTCCAGGGCCAGGCTCAGGCAGCAGTCAGTGACAAAGCCTGGGGGAGGGAATCTCCGCCCCCTGAACTTTTGCGGACGTTGTTGGAGGAGGGCAACAAGCTCCCGGTGGTGGTTCCCGAGTGTCATCTGCTCCAGGGCCTACAGGAGCAGGGCCGCTGGCTGGAGGAGGTGAGGCGCACCCTGGGCACAGAAGGAGCTGAGAAGCAGGAGGTGACACTGGAGATGTTGAGGAGTCTGATGCAGGCAGGCTGTAATGTGGCCCAGAGCGTTTCCGTGGAGACGGCCATGGCGGAGCTCCAGGAGCTGCTCACCATCGCGGAACGCTGGGAGGAGAAAGCGCAGATCTGCCTGGAGCACAGGTACGACCAACAGAGGTTGTCCTTTCACAACCGCTCTGTCCTGAGAAAAAAAAAACTTAGATGTTTTCTTATCTTTGTGTTCCTTCAACCAGTCAAAAACATCCTCTTTCAACCCTGGAGGCGATTGTGAACGAGGCCCAGCTCATTCCAGTCAAGCTGCCCAACATTCTGTCTCTACAGAGCTGCCTGACACGTGCACGGGCCTGGGTCACAGACCTGGAGGAAATTCAGGTAAAAAAAAAAAACATTGAAAAGAAAGTTGGTTCATGTTAAATGTTTGTCCCTGAAATTTCTCCAGTTGTGATGTTTGGTTCTTAGACACCGGGAAGACCAGGTTTACAAACCATTTACTGCCTTTATACTGTTTTTTGTCTGTTATCTCCCTCAATCTTTACACTTAAAATTAAGTCCAAAATAAAGAGCACTAATACACAGTAAAGTGACTTTTCTACGTCGTTGTTCTGCCTGCTCCACCTCTGATCTCTGTATTAGACACATTTGTTTTTCAAACTGAGTTGACTTTTAATTTGAATATAAGCTGCAGCTTCCTGTTTGTTCGGTGTGACTGATGTGTGTGCTTTACACACCGTCAGTGGAGAAAACGAGCTGAGCTGGAAGGTCTTCTACACAGAACCTCATGTTGTAAAAATGTAGTTATACTTTTTTTAACAAAGGTCCATTCACTGATGTGGTTGTGGTCAGTAATGATGAAGAAAAAAAACTTACAGTATAAGTCGCTCCAAAGTATAGGTTACATCAGTGCCCTCTAGCGGCTGCCTGTGTAAAAATAACGTGAAATTATATATTTGAATATTTGTCACAAACCCAGCCAAAGGATGAAAAAAAAAAGTGACTTTTAGTCCTGATAAATACGGTAAATAGACAGAATACTTTTAATTTGAGTCATTCTAACCACCAAGCTTGTTGATAACTGGGACAAATGGAATTAAATGTTTTTCATTAGTGAAGTTACTAATGGTTTCTGATGGTTTTTCTTACAGAATGGGGAGCATTATCCCTGTCTGGACGACCTGGAAGGTCTGGTGGCCATCGGCAGGGACCTCCCTGTCCACATGGAGGAGCTCAGGCAGCTGGAGCTGCAGGTGACCAGCGCTCACTTCTGGAGGGAAAAGGCCACCAAGACCTTTCTGAAGAAGAGCAGCCAGCACAGTCTGCTGGAGGTGAGGCCACACAGAAAAGAAATATTTAAATTTAAATTAGCATTTTTCTCGCTCGTGTACAGGATGTAGAAATATAAGATAAATGAATGGAATCTTTATGAAGGCTTCATGAGAGGCTCACCTCAGTGGTTTGGTGTTTCAGGTCTTATGTCCGTGCGCAAAGAGGAGAGAGAGGAGAGATGGAACAAAGTCGTTGGATGATGTGTCTGATGACTCGGACACCAACACTCTGGGTCTGTCCGCTCAGGACCTCAGGGACCCTGCAGCTATTGTGAGTAGATGCGACCTTTTGTTTTTTATTATTATTTTTTTTTTATTTGAGGAATCCCATTGTTGACCTTGACCTGATTTGTGTCGACAACAGGTGATGGCCTTTAAAGAAGGGGAGCACCAGGAGAAGGAGGCGCTACTGAGGTTACAGCAGGTGAACCTGCGTAAACCTGACATTATCAGCAGCTGCAACGGGAGCTGGGACGACATGATGGAGACGGACACATCCAGCTGCTCGCAGGACTCTGTAAATGAGAACGGTACTGGCACACCCCCGTGCACGACCCCTCCTCAGTCGGTGTGCGTGTGCGGCGGGGAGCCTCGAGCGCCGCAGCTCCGCTGCCACCTGTGTAAAGACTGGTTCCACGGTGGCTGCGTACCGTTCCCCTCCCTGCTCCCGCCCTCTGGAACTCTAACTAACCTCCTCTGTTGGTGGGACTGGGAGTCGTGTTTCTTATGTCCGCGGTGCCAGCGGTCGCGACGCCCACGCCTGGAAACCATCCTGGCGTTGCTGGTGGCCCTGCAGCGGTTGCCGGTGCGTCTGCCGGAGGGGGAGGCGCTGCAGTGCCTCACGGAGAGAGCCATCAACTGGCAGGGTCGGGCCAAAGAGCTGCTGGAGTGCCCGGAGCTTCAGCAGGCTCTGCAGAAGCTGCAGGAACTCCAAGAAACGCTTCACAGCGAGGTGCCGAAGGAGGAGGGCGCGGACCGGAAGAGTGAGAAGAGCGCGGTCATCGTGTTGTCAGACTCTGAGGGAGAGGACGGCGTCATCGATCTGACGGACGACAACTCACCGAAAAAGAACTCCAAGCAGAGCAACGGCACTCAGGTTAACACCTTGGTCTTTGTCCTGTAGAGTTTGAAGTGTAAATTTGACCTAAAAAAAAAAAGACGACGGTCGTAGTTTTATATGTTAATTCACTTTTCACCACGTTCTCCACAGGCCTCGTGTGCAAACGGTGTCAGCAAGAACTCAAATGTTACAGGTGAGATTTGTAGATTTTTTTTTTTTTTCAAATAAGATAGAATTCACTTGGTTCTGGTTGTTTCTCACAGACCAGTTTTGTTCTCGGTTGTTCAGGTGTGGAGTCTCTGCTGCCTCTGTTGCCTCAGCTGAAGGGCCAGGTGGTGCAGCTTTCTGCAGCCACCAGCGCTCAGCTGGAGGAGCTGCAGCTGGAAGGAGATCTGCTGGAGGTCTCCTTAGACCAGACCAACATCATCAACAAAATCCTCAAGGCGTCCTCTGTTCCACCCACAGACACTCTGAACACACTCATCCAGGTAACAACAAGGAGGAGGTTTAAAATGATATAACACCTGAGTCTGAGAACCTTTTTGACCCCCCCCCCCCTCATATTTTCTCCCCCCTTAGATTGAACTCACAGAGCAGAGGCGAAACAACCGCAGCCGAACCAAAGAGTCGAAAAGGAAGAGGAAAAGCCACAGAGGGGACGGTGGGGAGGGGGAGAGAGAGAAGTCTGTGAATTCCTCAGAGTCAAAGAAAAGCTGTCCCCTCGTCCCCGGCCCCTCTCCTCACCCATCTGTCCAAACCTCTACAGAGGTGAGACTTTGTTTTACTGCAGCCTTTACCCATGAAAATGTATACATTTTTTTAGAAACGCTCTGACGGTAAATCCCTCCTCTCTCTCTCTCCTCCGACAGATCTTGTGATGCAGTCACCACTGGAGCGCTGTTGGAACTCGATGGTCAGAGGAACTGAAAGGACAGAGAATTCTGTGCCAGAAAAACCCGTGTCAAGCTGTAGGATGATGCAGGACATCCCTCCTCCACCCTTCATCCACCCTTCATCCCTTCACATCCGTCATTGATGCATCCAGACACTTAAAGAGAATTGACTCTCGTGCACTCCATCACCTCACCCTCCATCACTGAGAAGTTCTAACGATACCCCATCTTCTCCCCCGTCCTCCCTAGACATTGACCTCCACCTCCTCCACACCCATCGTCCCTGTGAACATTGTAGGACAGTGTAGGACAGATGTGGGACTTACTGTTATAAGAAACCCGTTGGTCTAGAGTTGTGTCTCTGAGGTCATTATGCTATGTTATCCCAATTGTATTAAGGTGCTGGTTTAATACCAGCGCGACAGTGTGTCAGTGTAAACAGTTCTGTATTTGGGCGCTGGAACTGTGAGAGGTGCAGCACAAAGTTCCAAAGACGGGACTTGGACAACAGCACCGAGGTTACAATTGTATTTTCAGCTTTTTGAATCTTGTGTTTGATGCCGTTCTAAGGGGACATGCATTTTGGTTAAAAAAAAAAAGAAAAAAAAAAGCATAAGTCAGTTTTGGAAAGTGTTGTAAACAGGCATTAATATTACTGGTGCTACTTTTCCCCAAAACCAACATTTTGTTCCTCTTGGTTTTGTTCACTCACCTCCAGTCGCTCCCTTGGTTCCTCCTGAGTTTACCTTGGTTTTCTCTCTTTCTACAGACTTAAAGTAACTTCACTGTAACTCACTTTGTCATAAAGAGTTTTTTTTCTCTCTCTCTCTGGGTTCAGATGATATTATTGTTATTATTGATATGGCAGGCACACAGTTGTTGGGAGTTTGTATAAACTTCTCATTTTAATGTTGCCTTTGTTTCTTTTCACTCTTGTTAGAAAAAAATAAAGTTTAGAATTGTTAAGACTTCCAGCCTGGTTTATGCTAAATGCTAAAAAAACTGGAATGTTCTAGGTACAGCTCAGTGTTACAGGAGGATGACGTTGAACACAAAAAATATATACAAAGGTCAAAATGGTGGATTTGATTAGACACACCAAACATGACTTCCTGTATTTACATTCTTAGGCTAATGCAGCTACCTCCGATAAGTAAGCTAACTCGTATTTTACGCCTTTTCTCCTATATCACGCCAAGACAGACTTAACAAATGTGTTTTAAATGCAGTATATAACCCATGGGCGCCATCGCTGGATTACAAATGTTATTATTATTATTATTATTATTATTATTGAACTTTATTCCACCGCTGGATTAATTACTGACGTGTGGCTACTACATTTCGGGTAAGTAAGGGCAGATCAATTGCCCCCGATTTATGGGTAGAACCTTGGACGTGGCATTTCAGTGAAATTTCCATCGTCTAAAATGTCAGATGTTTTTATTCCGAACTCGTTTTAACTAACTACTAATTTCATTAATTTCCCGAAGGAAACTCCCAAACTATTAATAATCTTCTATCTATTTATCTTCCGAGATTTCTATAGTTTTAGTGAGTTTGCGCATGCGTACCCCAACGCACAGAACAGAGTAGTACCGCTGGAAATCGTAGGGGGCGTCGTTGCAAACTAAAGCCTATGTAAACCCATTAACGCAGGGATTCCCAACATGCTGTGCGGGCATACCTGGTGGTGTGGAGGTGCCACTCGGGGGTGCGGGAGATTAAAAAAATAAAAATAAAAAAGTGATGGCGGTTTGGAGTGAGTTTTTTATGTAGCAGTGAAAAAAAAAGTTAAAGCAACAGCAAGGAGACAAAGACAGAAATGGCGGAACCGGGTAAAACAATTCACCAACTTATTGTCATGATTGTCTGTTCTTGTTGTGTTTGGACTCCCATTGTCGCCATTTTTGTTATTGTCCGAGAAACTGACGTCGGGCGGGAAACTAACTCTAAGGCCATAGAGTTCGGAAACTCCATACAGTTGTCGTACAACAGTTGTGATCGTACGACAGTTGTGTGCAGTGACATTTGAAACGGAAGTACGTATTTGAGAACATAAATGAGACTTACTCCATTTTCAATAACCATAGCGTTTATTTTAAAAAAGCTTCCACTGCAAAATGGTAAACACTGGACGTTACGATAAGCAACAAATGAACACAGCGTGTTTTTTTTACCCTCAATGCATTGAACACGTTCACATTTACAGTCATTTCATGCAGAAAATCCAAATAAAAACCACTCGCTGATCATAAATAATATTAGAAACCGATTTGTTGTTCTATAAAAGCTTTTTTTCTTCAAAAAAATCAATCACATTAAAAATTAAACGTAAAATTAATTGTCATTTGCAATGAATTGGTTTTATTCACAGTTGAAATAAATTACACTGCGTTGTTATCAAAACTGCAGATTCTCACGTGTATAAACAGGATTTGTAAAATGTTTTTTTTTTTGTCAAAATGTGGCCGAGTTTAAAAACTCACTGTTTGTTGATACATAATTCCCTTTTTTAATTTTTGTTTTTTAGAAAAGAAATAATGTGCTGTACAGTCTCGGCCTCAGAGGAAGACACGATCACCTCCTCCACAGACAGTTGTGCTACGACGACGACAGTGCGTTGACTGCTGTAAACAAAGGTAACAAACTGTAAACAAAGGTAACGAACAGCGATGAAAAAATGTCTCCACTACAATTACTGACACACAATGATGTTTTATGGAAACTCGCCTCTCATCTGCTGCCAACACAAACGTCTTTTCACGGCGTTTCCGACCGTTTGTTTATAATAATGTTAGTGGAACGCTGAATGGCTGGCCAGCAGATGGTGCCATTTCACAGCCACATTGCAAACGTTTTGATTAGCAAGACACATTAATGGCAATCATGTTTGTAACGGTGGATGTTTTCCTCCGTGAATGGGAAGTTTGTGCTCTTTCTTCAGCTCGGTTCATATTTATTTGTTTGTTTGTTTTGTTACATCCACTGATTCATGAAGGATGTTTTTTTTAAATGAATGCCCAGTAAACCAGACTGTTTTAGGTCATTTCATTCAAACATTTTCCAGAAAGGCATCGTTACGTTGACGGTTCCTCTGTTTTGGAAGTTCTGTGATTCCCTAGATATTTCAAAATATTCCAGGTTGGTGTGCTACCTTGAACCAGAGGTCACCGACCTTTTGTGCGTCACAGACTGGTTTCCTGTCAAACAGTATTCTCACAGACTGGATGTGAAGTTGCGGTGACAAATTTACAAAGAAATAGAAAGTGCTTAAAAGTAAAACTCACTACAAAGCGATTGGCCACATATCAATGACAGAGAGGTGAGAGTCACATGTGGTGATAAACCTGTATTTTAGGTAAGACAGCGAATGCAACTTTCTTATATTTGAAAGCCCAAATGTTGTCTTCAGCCCCCCCTGTAGGCCTCTGTTGTTGTTGGTGAAGCTCATCAAAACCTTTTATTTTGACGAGCATCTTAAGAGACTTTTGACAAATCTGGTCAGTGACACTGATAATCACTAAAAGGCAAATAATATGTGAGTTATTCTTCCCTATGACCCAGTACCAGATGACCCACGTCCCACTACTGGCCCAGTCCCCGGTGGTTGAGGACCTCTGTTTTGAATTACTATCATTAACCTGTGCTTTGTGGAACCTCTTGGTCAGGACTGTGTAGGCTCCTGTTTGGTGCTGTCTGACCTCTGACCTGACCTCTGACCTCCGTCCGGCCCACCCTCAGACGGTGGTGACCGACAACAGTGGGTTGTAGACCTTCTTCCCATCTGCAGACCTGGCACCGTGAGTCAGCAGCTCCTGAATTGTGATCCAGTTGTCCAGGATTTTCCGACTTCTCTTCTTCATGCTCCTGCGGTGGCAAAGCTCGAGGATGGAGGGGGGCTCCTGCTGGTTGACTGCCCCCTGCTGTCCACCACTGGCGCCCTGCAAACTCTCCCGTTCCCTAAGACAGTCCAGGCGGCTCTGCATCATGAACTCCCTGCGCCTCCTCTGCTCCCGGGCCTTCAGCAGCTGCTGCTTGCGCTCCTCTTTGCTCCAGTATCGGCCCATCTTCATTTCGCTGACTGCGTCGTCGTCCGTCGTCATGCCGCTGCGCTCCTCTCTGATCTTCATGGCGCGGGCCTTCAGCAGGCGGTCCCTCACAGGCCGCTTGGCCACATAACGGGAGCCGTCGCTGCGGATCTTCACCTTCCACTCCATCCGCGGGGAGGCCGGCATCACCGAGGACGACAAGGGAAGTGGATCAGAGCCCGCAGCCTGGGCCACACTTTTACATGTGCTACCCAAGCTCATTGGACTGGCATCGCCGCCACTATGAATGCTGGGAGTCTCCCTGAACCCGAACGTCTCAGATGTGGACGGAGACCTCAGCTGCATGCAGCTCAGGTAGCGAGGAGGAGGATTTGTCTCGGTGTGACGGCGGGACAGGTAAGGACTGTTTTCTGCGCTGCGTCCCCCGGACCTCTCTGCTGCTCCGTTGACTTTTGGGGTACGTCTCACCCCTCCGTCTGAGCCCCGTCGGCCTCCTCCGCCCTGGGAAAGTGACCGGACTTTAGCTCCAGGGCTGTAGGTCTTAGTGGTCTCTGCTCTTCGGCTGCTGTGGTTCAGGTTTGTCCATGGCCCGTCCCCTCTTTCTGCCCCAGGTCCTTTCTCTCTCTGCCTGGTTTGTAACGCCACTCCCTCTGAGCAGAGAGACACGTCCAGACTCTGTGTTGAGTGCGAAGGATACTGTTCACTGACCAGAGGAGTGCTCCTGCAGCTTTCTCCTCCAGTGTTGTAGGCACTGGTGCTGTCCTTGTCGGAGCGCTCCCGGTCTGGGAGCTCGTTGATGTCTGACAGCGCGTGGTGACACAAGTCCTCGCTGGCCAAGTTACCGATGCTGTCGAAGCGTCCCACGCCGCCTCCTGCTCCTCCTGCCGCCGCTCCGTTTTTCTCCTCCACAGGCCAGGCCTTCAGACATCGCTCCCTCAGCTGCTGCATCTTCTGCGCCCTCAGGATGTTGCGGCACTTGAACTCCAGGTGGCGCAGCTCCTCCTCCAGCAGGGCCAGTTCGTGCTGGGTCAGACCCTCGTTCCTGTTGACGTCCAGTGGGACGCCGTCGACCTCGTGCACGTTACTGTTCTGTTCGTAGTAACACTTGATCTCCAGCAGCTCCTTGTACCTCTCGCACTCCTCCTCCGTCAGCCCCGGCATCACCGTCCTCATGGCGTCGGCCACGTACGTCTTCTCCAGTCGCTCCAGCTGCTCCAGCCCCCCTCCACCCACGCT